TCAGACAAAATTTAACGGAAGGACTAAAAAGGGGCCAGATTTTAAAATTTAAGGACCAAAAAGGGGATTTTTTCGGTACAGGGACTAAAAAGGGGCTTTTTCCTATAGTAGAGGGACCAAAAAGGGTATTTAACCTTGATGAAATGGAAAATAGAGATAGCCAAGCCAAAGCTGTCACGGAGAAGAAAGCAGCAGGAGGGACGAAGAAGGTTTGTACTATCTTTAATGATATTGCTATCCTTTAATGTAAGAGGCTTAGGAGGGGGTGGGAAAAGAAGACATATAAGGGATTTAATTTTGAGGGAGAAAGTGGAATTCTTAGCTGTTCAAGAAACCAAATTGGAAGTTGTTGATAGGAAGCTGTGTAGGATGGTGTGGGGGAAGGAGGATTTTGACTGGATAGCCAAGCCATCTAGGGGGTTGTCGGGCGGATTGCTGTGTATATGGAATAAAAAAATTTTTAAAATGGAAGAGGTGTTAGAGGGGAACCATTTCATTGGGGCTTTTGGTTTATGGGGGGAAGAGGGAGTTCCGGTATATATTATTAACATTTATTCTCCATGTGAGTTGTCTGGGAAGAGGGCTCTGTGGGAAGAGTTGCAGATTTTGATTTCGAATAGGAAAGGCAACTGGGTTTTAGGGGGGGACTTTAACGCTGTCCGGAGCTCAGGGGAACGGGCAGGGTCCAATGGGTTGTCCAGAGAAATGAAAGACTTTGATAGTTTCATAATCGGAGCTGGGTTGGTAGACTTGCCTATGGCAGGGAGGAAATACACCTGGTATAATGCTAATGGCCAACACATGAGTAGGATTGACAGATTCCTGGTTTCAGAGGATTGGCTTTTGAGATGGTACGATGTAAAACAGTGGGGGTTAAATCGAACTGTTTCAGACCATTGCCCTGTCTTATTGAAAAATGAGCGGGTGGACTGGGGTCCAAAGCCCTTTAAGTTTTTTGATGCTTGGTTGCAGGTGCCTGGATGCAAGGAGCTGATTAGAAATACTTGGAACTCTACGGCAGTGGAGGGATGGTATGGGTTCAAGCTCAAGGAGAAATTAAAAAGTGTTAAGATAGCTTTGAAAGAATGGAGCAGAAACTCAGTGACAGAGATGGATAGGAAAATAATAGAAGCTGAGAGAGTGATAGCCCAAATGGACGAAAGAGGAGAGAAGGTTCTTTTGTCGCCTACTGAAATTGAGAAGAGGAGAAATTGATTCCTTGAACTATGGAAGAACATCAAACTAAAAGAGAACATGTGGCAGCAAAAATCAAGATTGATGTGGTTAAAAGAAGGTGATGCAAACACCAAATTCTTCCATAGGTGTGTGGCGGGAAGATGGAGAAAAAATGAAATCAATAGCATCCAGATTAATGGTGAACATCATAAGGGGGTGGGTGAAATTAAAGAAAAAATGGCGGATTATTTTGAGCAGCTTTTTAAAGAAGATAAGTGGCAGAGACCCAAGTTAGACGGTATCAGCTTCCGTCAGATTGGAGAGGCAGACAACGAACTCCTCATATCATCATTCTCTGAAGAAGAAATCAAAAATGCTGTTTGGGATTGTGATTCGTCAAAGTCTCCAGGCCCAGATGGATTTAATTTCAACTTTGTGAAGTGCATGTGGGAAGATTTAAAAACTGAGATTGTAGGTTTCATTAGAGAGTTCCAGGATCAAGGAAGGCTAGTAAGAGGATCAAATGCCTCTTTCATAACTCTAATTCCGAAAGTGGAAAACCCCCAAAGGATTGAAGAATACAGGCCAATTTCACTTATCGGAGTTATGTACAAGATAATTGCGAAGCTATTAGCAAATCGCCTCCGAAAAGTGCTGGACAAAGTCATCGGGGAGCAACAAATGGCATTCATCGAAGGGAGGCAGTTGGTTGATGGTGTGGTTATTGCTAATGAAGTGATTGATGAGGCGAAGAGGAAAAAGAAGAGCAGCTTCCTGTTCAAGGTCGATTTTGAAAAAGCATACGATAAGGTGTGCTGGGATTTCCTAGACTATATGCTGATGAGGTTGGGTTTCTGCAATACTTGGAGAATGTGGATACAAGAGTGTCTACAATCCAGCACGGTCTCAGTTCTGGTCAATGGAAGCCCCTCTAGACAATTCTCAGTTAGCAAGGGACTTCGCCAAGGAGACCCATTATCTCCCTTCCTATTCCTGCTAGTAGCGGAAGGATTGAATGGGCTAATGTCTTCTGCAGTTGAAAAAGAGCAATTTAAGGGCGTGACAGTTGGTAAGGATGCGGTAATGGTCACCCACCTTCAATTCGCAGATGATACCATCTTCTTTGGGGAAGCAACAGAAAACAACATCATGGTGATTAAAAGTTTATTGAGGACTTTTGAGCTGCTTTCCGGATTGAAAATTAATCTTCAAAAGAGCCAACTTATGGGCATCAATGTCGAAGACAGCTGGGAAAGCAAAATGGCCTATAGATTATGCTGCAAAAAAGGGGAATTTCCATTTAAATACTTGGGAATTCCCATCGGGGGAAGCCATAGAAGGCTCTCAATGTGGCAGCCCTTGTTGGAGTCTTTTAAAAAGAAGTTGACAAGCTGGAAGGGTCGGCATCTTTCTCTTGGGGGTCGAATCACGCTCATCAACTCGGTGCTGTCCAGTTTGCCTGTGTTTTTAATGTCAGTTTACCTCCT